CGGGCATGTACACATCTCTGTTGACAACACTACCAGGGCATGTACACATCTCTGTCTACAGCACTACCAGGGCATGTACACATCCCTGTCTACAGCACTACCAGGGCATGTACACATCTCTGTCTACAGCACTACCAGGGCATATATACGTCCCTGTCTACAGCACTACCAGGGCATATACACGTCCCTGTCTACAGCACTACCAGGGCATGTAACATCCCTGTCTACAGCACTACCAGGGCACTTAACGTCACTGTCCACTGCACTACCAGGGCATGTAACATACCTGTCTACAGCACTACTAGGGCACATAACGTCACTGTCCACTGCACTACCAGGGCATGTACACACTTCTGTCTACAGCACTACCAGGGCAAGTACACGTCCCTTTCTACTGCACTATCAGGGCATGTACACACTTCTGTCTACAGCACTACCAAGGCAAGTACACATCCCTTTCTACAGCACTACCAGGGCAAGTACACGTCCCTTTCTACTGCACTATCAGGGCATGTACACACTTCTGTCTACAGCACTACCAGGGCAAGTACACATCTCTCTCTACAGCACTACCAGGGCATATAACACGTTCCTGTCTACAACACTACCAGGGCATGTAATGTCCCTGTCTACAGTACTACCAGGGCATATACACATCCCTGTCTACAGCACTACTAGGGCACCTAATATCCCTGACTACAGCACTACCAGGGCATGTAACATCCCTGTCTACAGCACTACTAGGGCATGTAACGTCCCTGTCTACAACACTACCAGGGCATGTAATATCTCTGTCTACAGCACTACCAGAGCTTATACACGTCCCTGTCTACAGCATTACCAGGGCACTTAAGCGTCACTGTCCACTGCACTACCAGGGCATGTACACACTTCTGTTTACAGCACTGCCAGGGCAAGTACACGTCCCTTTCTACTGCACTACCAGGGCATGTACACATCTCTATCTACAGCACTACCAGGGCAAGTACACGTCCCTTTCTACTGCACTACCAGGGCATGTACACATCTCTATCTACAGCACTACTAAGGCATGTACACGTTCCTGTCTACAACACTACCAGGGCATGTACACATCTCTCTCTACAGCACTATCAGGGCATATACACGTTCCTGTCTACAGCACTACCAGGGCATGTACACATCCCTGTCTACAGCACTACCAGGGCACTTAACGTCACTGTCCACTGCACTACCAGGGCATGTACACACTTCTGTCTACAGCACTACCAGGGCAAGTATACGTCCCTTTCTACTGCACTACCAGGGCATATACATGTTCCTGTCTACAGCACTACCAGGGCATGTAATGTCTCTGTCTACAGCACTACCAGGGCATATACACGTCCCTGTCTACAGCACTACCAGGGCATATACACGTCCCTGTCTACAGCACTACCAGGGCATGTACACACTTCTGTCTACAGCACTACCAGGGCAAGTACATGTCCCTTTCTACTGCACTACCAGGGCATGTACACATCTCTATCTACAGCACTACTAAGGCATGTACACGTTCCTGTCTACAACACTACCAGGGCATGTACACATCTCTCTCTGTCTACAGCACTACCAGGGCATGTACACATCTCTCTCCACAGCACTACTATGGGAGTTTGTGCCATCATTAAAATGTGTTTTTGTCTTTTTGTGTATCTAAAAGTAAAGTGCCACTGGGAGAGTTGTTTACATATAAAAGTGACCGTTGGAGAGTTAAGGATTTAAATCCTGCCTATTAATTCTGAATTAACATGGCTGAGGCTATTTTCCTGAATATGAGAGGCCTGAGGTTTAAAAACCCGGAGAGAGTTATATCTTCGTAGTAGATATACTAGGCCTACAGATGATTTATGTAATGAAGTGGGGGCAATAGATGCTGCACATAATTTGAAATTATAAGTATATCTTGATTGTTTGTAGCATGTAATTAATGGACATTTTACTTGTTTGTAAGCTCATTTAATTATAAATTAGCTTTTATAAACTGTAGATCAGATTTTAAGCCTTATCTGATGTTTAATGTTTTAGTGATAATTGTGTAGAGAAGTAATGTGTTTATTTACAAGAAGGAACTAATGTATTTAAAAGTAAGATTCACAACAAAATTTGAATTGCATTGTAACCGTCATAAAATTTTCTAACTTTTTCTTGGATAGAATGGCAATGTATAAATTACTTCAAACAAAGTTTGCTAAGTTATCTATGGTAAACATTGTTACCATGTAGTAGAAATAACAATATAATGTCTATTCACATGTAGATAAATGATTCAGTAATTTTGGAATTGTTTTATCAGATCTAACATTGTTATCATGTAGTAGAAATAACAATATAATGTTTATTCACATGTAGATAAATGATTCAGTAATTTTGGAATTGTTTTATCAGATCTTAACATTGTTACCATGTAGTAGAAATAACAATATAATGTCTATTCACATGTAGATAAATGATTCAGTAATTTTGGAATTGTTTTATCAGATTTTAACATTGTTACCATGTAGTAGAAATAACAATATAATGTCTATTCACATGTAGATAAATGATTCAGTAATTTTGGAATTGTTTTATCAGATCTAACATTGTTACCATGTAGTAGAAATAACAATATAATGTTTATTCACATGTAGATAAATGATTCAGTAATTTTGGAATTGTTTTATCAGATCCTAACATAGGATGTGTTGCCACACTTCTTGATCCCTTCTCACTTGAAGCTAGTAGGTTTGATGCTTCAATACGAAAAAGTTATGAACCTTCTGATAACTCATTCTTACCATATACAGGTAAGTAATACATGAGATGATGACACTTTAGTAACACGTCCGTTTTATGTTTAACTTTTCTTCATCTGTTCCAGGTATTTTATACTCCATGTACAATAACTTGAACTTTGCTTGACCATTATAAGTCAAAGTTTGAAAATGATTACTTGGTATTGATTTCTGAAATAAATCTTTTTTTTTTTTTTACTTCTAATACACAAACTTTAGAGATATCAGTAAGAACGATATTGTGAAGGGAACAAATGGTTATGTTTTGTCTAAAATAGTCATTCACATTTTTTAATTGTTTTCATAGCTGAATTAGCCTCACTGACCTTTGTAAGAAATTACAGTATCTGTGTAGAATTGTCTGTTTTATTAGTAACCTTGGTAGGAATGTACTGTGTTCATGTAACATTGTTGATGTCTTACTAGTAACCTTGGTAGGAATGTACTGTGCTCATGTAACATTGTCTATATCTTATTAGTAACCTTGGTAGGAATGTACTATGTTCACATAACATTGTTGATGTCTTGTTAGTAACCTTGGTAGAATGTACTGTGTCTACTTAAAATTATCTATGTCTTATTAGTAACCTTGGTAGGAATATACTGTGTCTTTGAAACGTTGTTGATGCCTTTAATAAATACTTAGTTGATAAATATTTTCATTACACTTTGAAAAACAGATCACCAGTACTAGACTATATATTTACTTCTGGACTCAGTTTTTAGTGGCTGCTGTGTCTTAAGAATAGTCATTATCAGCAGTTCCAGTAATTTTAAACTGCTTAATAGTTACTGGAATGTCACTTTTACTTATATTTGAGGGTCTGTTTATGAATTTATCTTTCACTTGAAGAATGATGTTCTGGTTTTCTATTTACTTGAGACCTGTGGCTTGTGTTTAGGGATATTTCTCTGAACATAACTTTTACTTGAAGTTTGAGGTTTAGGTTTTGTATTTAAATGTAGGTAATGGGAAACTTGGACTATCTGTTGAAGAGAACAGTCATTTGTACATCATGTCGAAGCGAAGTTTATCTCTTCCCCTGCCATTTCAACCTTTGATCCATGTGTCTTTGCCTGGGACTAGCAGCCAAGGTATGTGTAATTTTGTGTTGGTGAGACTTGTGGGTTTCAAACATTATGTTTGTCATACAATTTCTATAACTTTTATAAAGTTTCTAGATTCATTAATATTTCAACTAAAAGCAGTTGTAGATTAATAAAAATAAAACATAGTGAATTAGTGATCATGTAGTGTTTAATCTTCCCCTGAAAATAATTAAATGTTTAGTTTCAGTATTAGTTTTTACATTGTCTAATCAAGATCACTCATTTCTCTGTGTCACTGGTGTGGGAAATATCTTTGAAACTGTTTATTCTGTGAGGTTCCAAAGTAGTGTTTGCTTTTAAAGCTTTCATATGCTTTCTAACAGCCAGCTATTCAGTTTTGTTTCAAATACTTTGATTGAAAGTTGTACGTTAAATGATGTCCTGTTTTTTATAAAGTTTAATAAGCATGTAGAGTTTCTTTTGTCTGTGTATTTATAGTAAATGAACATTAGAAAAGTGAAGCTTTAAGAATACAGTTGTAGGTAGAGAAAAATATTTTCTTCAAGCACTGTGATCTTGAGTATAGTTAACTGATTGGTATATTAAGTGAAACTGAGACAAATCTACATGCGTAAAGATCATTCAAGAAAAAAATGTTCTCTGTTTTCACATTTACCAGTCAGTTTCTACTCACGTGCCTAGATCTCGTTGAATTTGCCCAGATGTTTATCTTAAAATGCTGTATTTATTTGTTGTTCTTGAATTATGCAGAGCAAGGTTGCTGTAGCAACTGTGAATATGTCTCGGTATTTCTGCAGGTGAAGACTGCTGTACTTATTTCAAAGTTTCTGTTGTTTGTTACAAGCTGTGATGAATTAAATTGTCCACTTATTACTCATCATGAATTGAAAGACAATTGCAGATATTCAACAACTTTCTAATATTTTTTAGAGGGTGTGGCGGTATCGTTTACCACAGGAATTGTTCATCATTTTTATTGTTTTAGTCAAGTAAGTGTAATGTAACCAAAGTTTGTTTAGTTGAGTTGTCATGATTTAATCCTGCACTGAAGGTTTTCATGTAGTTTGTCTTTGTTAAGTACTCTTGGTACAATAAGTTAATCCATATTGTGCACTTAATTGTTGTTATGATCTGAACTTTTATATAGTTATATTGAAAAATGAATTACAAACATTATGAAGTTTGTGTAGGACAATAATGTGAAAAATACAAAATTTAATAGATTTAAATATATTTCCTTATTTTCAATTGTTCTTATCATTAATCAAATTTATTATACAATTTCTGATTATATTTTTATTTTTTAGAAGAGAAAGACAATAGGTGTTTCACAACAAGTGTATGCACATCGTACCATACCAGCTATTTTGCTACAGAGTATTAAAGTTAACAACCCCTTGGTAAGAATGTTTCTTTGAAAATGTTTTGGGTTTTATGTCAAAAATATATCTGTAGCTTGTTGGCATTAGTATGTGTGTCCAGTGTAGTTTATTAACTTTGTGTGTCCACTGTAGTTTATTAGTATGTATATCCACTGGTTTATTAGCTGTATGACTATTGGAGTATTAGCTGTGTGTGTGTCCCCACTGTAGTTTACTAACTGTGTGTGTTTGTTCACTGTAGTTTACTAGCTGTGTGTGTTTGGCTGTGTATGTTTGTCCACTGTAGTTTATTAATTAGGGGTGTGTGTGTGTTTCCACTGTAGTTTATTAGGGGTATATGTGTGTCCACTGTAGGTTGTTAGGTGTGTGTTTGTCCACTGTAGTGTATTAGTTGTGTGTTAGTCTATTGTAGGTTATTAGATGTGTTTGTCCACTATAGTTTATTAGGTGTGTGTATGTGTCCACTGTAGGTTATTAGGTGTGTGTGTGTCCACTGTAGGTTATTAGGTGTGTGTGTGTGTGTGTCCACTGTAGGTTATTAGGTGTGTGTGCCCACTATAGTTTATTAGGGGTATGTGTGTGTGTCCACTGTAGGTTGTTAGGTGTGTGTTTGTCCATTGTAGGTTATTAGATGTGTTTGTCCACTATAGTTTATTAGGGGTGTGTGTGTGTGTCCACTGTAGGTTGTTAGGTGTGTGTTTGTTCACTGTAGTGTATTAGTTGTGTGTTTGTCCATTGTGGGTTATTAGATGTGTTTGTGCACTATAGTTTATTAGGGGCGTGTGTGTGTGTGTGTATCCACTGTAGGTTATTAGGGGTGTGTGTGTGTGAATCCACTGTAGGCTGTTAGATATGTGTTTGTCCACTGTAATTTATAAGGTGTGTGTGTCCGCTGTAAGTTGTTAGGTATTTATCTCCATTGTAGTTTATTAATTGTATGTCCACTGTAAGTTATTAAGTGTGTATCCACTGTAGGTTATTAGGTGCAATCACATGATGAGGAACTTTAACCGAGTTTGTTTTGGACTATTATGTAGTCAAGTATTTATGTATAATGTGAAATTTTTACTCTGTTACAGAGTGATGATATAACTGTTGTACTGAAGCAGATCGGAGTAGTTGGTGATCCTGATGTTCATACGCAGTTAAAAACGTAAGATTTCAAAACACCCATAATTTTTTTAGTTTCTGTGTTTTTGTGAAGTGACTTACCAACTCTTTGAGAGAGAACTCCATATATTCCCAGTGCACAATCTTGTGGGAAAATAATCCTTATTTAGTATTGAAGCATCTAGCATCACTGTGACATTACTTTTGAAGATGGTATTTTTCAATGTTGTCAATTACAAATTGAAGGTTGATATCTTCTGCTGTGTATAAACTGAATTTTGTACAAAAAATTCAACTTCAAACACATTGTTTTGACATGTTTGACAAACATGAAGCCTACTGGAGTTAGTTGATGTGAATGTTTGATATACAGTTATAACATTCTTTTAGAATTGAGTAAAGCAAAGTATTTAATGTTTTGATATGTTTAATAAATATAAACTTTCTACTGGAGTTGGGTGATGTGAGTATTTGTTATATAGTTTTAACATTCTTCCAGCGTCCAGGGAAATGAGGCTACAGAATATTACTTACATATAGGAAAAGTTGCAGTACCAGATTCTGAAAACTTGGTGATTGTTTTTGCCATTGCAGCAGTTAAAGTACCAGACTCTGTTACTGTCACAGGAAGAGGGTAAGTTTAAGGCAAATAAATTTTGCTGAGACATTATATATTTTATGTAATAATAAACCTTTGAGTCGGGTGGGCTAATTATGGAATTTATGTTAACAAAGTAAGGTTCACACGAGATCCAGAATTCTGGAAAATCTGGAATAACATACAGGGATCGATCTGAGGAGTCTCCCCCCCCCCCATGGCATTTTCTGCAGATAGAGTGGTCATTGTGGTTTTTCTACCTTCTTAAGGTTAACTAATTTCATCAATTTGTTCATGTTCATCTTCTGACAATTCTGTGAAGATACCCAGTTTGTAAGTAGTCATGCTTTCTTCAGTCATTTGTTAGTATTGACTGAAATTCTTCTCTGACTGCTTTTATGGTTTGCTTTCTTCTCTGCAGCTGGCATCCCATTGTGTCATGGCCATAATCAAATTTGCTACCAGCACGTCAAGCATTTTGCTACATTCCATTTGTAAGTAAGCTTTGAATCTGATGATTCTGACATCTGTCCTCCAAGATATGTGCAATCTAGACACAAAATTTGCTGGTTGCTCTTACAGTTCACGGTGCTTCTTGAGAATCTCTAGATATCATATTACAATAACACTATTACCTTTGGCAAAGTTTAGTAAAACTTTATTCATCTAATAAAAAGAAAAGAAAACCAGTGTATCTTCTCCAGTTTTTTTCAGTTGTGTGTTGATGAATGCCATTGGATTCCTCATGTAACAGTGCATATTCTGTAAAATGTTCAAGAGAGTTGAAGAAATGATGACTATGTGCCTTTTGGAGGTAGAATACTGTACATTGTCTTTTTGACTCAGATATATATCATTAAAGTATAACTAATAATTATGTTTCAGTATTACTCAACATAGCAGATATATAGTGCTCTTTATTACTTGTTTTTAAGTACACCATATTTAATTGCTTTTGTTAAAAGTTTGTGTAGCCTATTCTTAGAATGTCACAGGCTTTGGCAAGATCTGATATTTCAACTTTGAACCATTGTTAGCTGATTTAAGTAAAATAAGAATAATTAGTTTATAGATATTTTCTTTTCTACAGGATTTTACTGATCCCCGAACTTAGTTTATTCAGAAAATTAATTTTACCCTAGTGTGAAGAAATCATTTTGCTTATAAATTGAACACATTTAACCATGCTGTAGGTGTTAAGTCAGTTTTTAAATTGAAGTTAAGAAACCACTGATTATCTTTATTTGAAATTTTTATGTTAAAAAAGAATATTTTAAACAATCAATGATATAAGGTTAGTAAAATAAAATATTAAAATTAAAAATTGTATGGCTTCTGACTTTGACATGAAATAGAAACATATATGTAACAAAACTGTCATTAGCTTCTATCTTGATAATGAAATTAATACTGTATTATTTTTTATAATGTACAACATAAACTAACAGCTGTCATGGTGGGTTTTTTTCTAGCTCTCAGTCTCTACACTTCGGTTTAGTTCTTCACCATTCACATCCAATGCCAAGTGGTGAAGTTGGCCATATTAGCAAAGAACTTGGAACATTGGCAGAGGAGGTGATGTTATCTGATTAAATATTCTGTTTAAGATGCATAGTTTTAGCTTTTATATCACCCATATCCCAACTGTTATGTTTATAAGTAAAATATAAAAATCTCTTACATAAGCAAATATCAAATTTATGGTACTTTTATTTATTTACTTGTGTACCATGCCTTAAGTTTTAGCACTATTGCCCGAACTTTGTTTTCTTCTACACATTTTTGGCTAATGTAGTGACAAAATCTGAAATGTGTATATAATTTGTGTAGCAGAGGTTTAACGTAAAGGATATTTGTATTTCTTTTTTAATCATTACTCATTTATGTTTCATAACTTTGGAAATATTATCGACATAGAATATGATAGTACTGTGTATTGAGGTGGCATTGTGTGAAATTAACAGGACGTATTCTGTTTCCTTTTTTTCTTGAGTAAAATCAGGAATTTTTTTATATCTTCTCTTTTGACAAACCTCTGGAACTCATGAAATTTTGTGTAAGCAATTGAAATTATTGATAATATATTTTCTAAAACAGGCCCACGGGTTGCATCTAGCCCGCGATGAGTTCTTAAAATATAAGGAAATCATAATCTTATTAAATTTTACTTTTGCTTCATACAGTGTGGCCCATAAGTCTATTTAAAAATTGCTATCTGGCCCACACTGGAGAAAGTTGCACATGTCTGCTCTAAAAAAGAAGAAATTGGTGGTTAGTAAGAAATTTCTAAAACTGAAAACGGCCATTAATAAATGTTTTCCTGCAGTGAACCCTAACTGTGCTTATTCCACACATAAGTTGTTGCCTGCAACGCAGAAAGATGCGATACCTATCACACAGAAAAGTATGGTTATTTATGAATTCTCTGTGAATGTCTATACATAGGTCGCACTTCACAAAGATTGCAGGATGGAATTAAACAGCATGTACCTACATCTATAAGAACTACGAGTGTGAAAGAAAATAATTTACCATGTCGCTCCTGTAAAACAAAAGTTCTACCACCAAAATGTGAATCGGCGATTGGCCAGCATTTACTGGTGAACCCAACTTGTGCTGACAACTACATGGATAGCAGGTTTGAAATTATTGCAAATGGTTGGTCGACCTTCCATCTCTATATTTTGGAAGCCACCTTTATTAAAACACATAAACCTGCCCTTTGCCACCAAAAAGAATTCCTATACAATCTACACATCCTTCAGTAGGTCTCTGACATTTCCTGATTGGCTTAAGGACATGCCAATCAGTGATTGCCTTACCAGCCTATGTTGATTAGACTCATTTTATAAGCTGTATAGATCATTTTCCAGATGGTTCTGCTATGGTTAGTGTCTGGTAAAAAGCTTCAGCAGATATTTCCTTTTCAACATCTCAACCAACAATTGGTCCAGTTATCAATGCTATTTTAAAGTTTTGAACAACTCGACTTTCAAGATCTACGTATCTACATGTGCCGATGTTTCCATTTACCAACGTTATATTTTAAGATATGTGCAAGAACTCAGCTAACATATGTTTCCACATATAAAAGCTATCTTCAAGTTTTGTACACCAAAAACACTTTTCAAGTAAAACTGAAATATTCACTTGTGTCCTCACTGCTTCATCATTTAATGATATCAATAACTAAATTTTCTGTTGTTTATATAGGATATCAAAAAAGTGTTAGCTGCTCAACCTGTGGCCTTAAGAAAAAGTCATGTGCAGGCATGGAAACAGGTACAACGTTATATTTTAAGATATGTGCAAGAACTCAGCTAACATATGTTTCCACATATAAAAGCTATCTTCAAGTTTTGTACACCAAAAACACTTTTCAAGTAAAACTGAAATATTCACTTGTGTCCTCACTGCTTCATCATTTAATGATATCAATAACTAAATTTTCTGTTGTTTATATAGGATATCAAAAAAGTGTTAGCTGCTCAACCTGTGGCCTTAAGAAAAAGTCATGTGCAGGCATGGAAACAGGTACAGACGTAGTTATGGAATTGTTGTTTCTTCTCTATTAGCTTGAGAAGTTTCTTTCTCTGATAACACTAAGTTAACCTAAATTACTGGGAATATTTAACATGTTTTCAAATAAAATTTTCAATCCAATTTTTACTAGGTAAGATAAATATGTTACTGTCAGGGGATATATAGCATGCTGGAAGTTGCATCATTGGAAACATGAAGAATGCTCAATAATAAAATGTTATAATGTATTTTAGAAGCTATACTTTAGCTTTTTATGGGTGAAGGGTACCACATGGTACACAGTTTAGTTATTATGTCTATAAATGAAAATATTTTTCACTATTACTTTGTTTCTGTTTAATATCGTTTTTGGTTGGTTCAATTTTACAGCAGACTATTCTAGTTGGATGTGTATATGTGCTTTATTATAAAAGTGAATATATAAAATATGTAATAATTGTATATAATTTTGGAGTCTGTTAAAATGTACTTTGTGACCGAAAAGTGCTCGGGTTATAGGGTTTTTTAATTTTGACTTTGCTTTTTTTGAATCTATGTTTTTTTTTGTAAAATTATGCATGTAATATTCTAAATGTACAAGAAAACTGATCCCAAGTTTATTATTTATCAACAAATATGTATATGAATCAATAAATTTTATAGGATAAAATCACCTTTCTTTTTTTTTTTTTTTCTTAGCTGTGGAATACAGGCTTTGGCATCAGTTATTCTCGAGCCCAGGGCACACTGAATGGAGACAAGATTAATGCCACACTCTATTATGTACTGTCCCAAACTCGTGCTTTGACTCTGGAACTGACGACTACATCATCACATCTTCAGGAACTGGAGTCATGGCTTTCCTATCCAGACATGTGTTACAGAGGCCATCACACCTTGTAAGTTAACCCATGTGAGTTGTTGTTTAAAAAGATATGCATATAGTAAATTGTGTACAGCTATTGATCTGAATATAATTAATGTCATTTTTGTTTATTTGTCTATTGAGCTTCACTCAGCTAAGTAAAGAAGGTTGATCTACTTTTATTTTATATGTGACTATATACCATGTTTATATGTATCCATTTGTGCTTGACTTAAATGTGAAGATTTTGGTTTTGAGCTGTCACTTCATTTGTCAAGGATGATTTCTAGAATAGAAAATGTCAACTGAAAATGAGAATGACCATTCCTGTACACAGTACAGCCAACAGATAATTTTAACTACTTGTGTGTGTGTAGGGGAGGAGCTTTACACATCTCTGATTTCGAGCTACAATAGACAAATTAAGAGGAATGTGGAGAAAAAATCACCTGCAGTTAATTTGTTTTTATAACATCCTTTAAATTTACTTGTTTTTCAATATTTTGCTGGATTTTGTCATTTAAACTGTAACTTTTAAAAGTATTATACTGCATATATAAAAAGTGTTTTATAGAATCTTTTGCCTCTCATCATCCAGCCTAACTGATGAGTTCTGATATTGAGTGAAAACTTATTAGGCAGTGGCTTGTGGGAAACAAAAGGTAAATCAAATGTTGTTTTCACATACCTCTGATTTTGAACTGCAATGGATAAATTAAGATGAATATGGAAAAAACAAATGCAATTAATTTGTTTTTATAATAACCTACTTTCAACTTGAATATAAGTACTGCTAACAAAAAGAAGACATAGCAATGGGCTCACCCCTATCATCAGGACTTAGTAACCACCATATGGAACATTTTGAATTCAATGCCCTAAAAACAACTGCTGTATGCCCAAGATCTGGCTTAGATATGTTCATGATATGGCAATATGATACCCACAATATTCAAGAAATTTTGAACAACTTGAACAGACAAAATCCTGTGATACAACTCACAATGAAATTAGAAAAAAAAAACATCCATTTCTTGATGTGATGGTTACCGAGACTCTCAACTCAAATACCAAGAAAGTTTATAGAAAACTCATAGGTACTCAACTATTAATCAAACCACCTTAAAAGTGAGAAGACAGGACTGCCTAGTTTCCAGAATGAACAACCTAACAAGAAACAAGAAAAGACATCACTACAACTGTCCTCAAAAATGGATACCAAGAATACTGAATAAAGAAAATAAACACAAAGTATAATAAACAAGAATAAAATGACAGACACATAGTCGTATTTTCCTTCCTTACATCAGAGGGCTTTTTGAAAACACAAAGAGGACATGTAAACAATATAAATTCAGAACAGTTTTAAAAAGCCACAATTCAATACGATCACACTTATTACACATCAACACATCTAAAGACCTAATGGAGAACAAAAACACCATTTACAATATCTTCTGTGAATTTTGATTCAAATACGTTGGAGAAACGAAAAGTCCAACAAAGATAGTGCTATTCAGGACTGCTCTGAAGACAGATAAAAAACTAGTTAGTAATTAGTTTGGGTTACTACTTAGTAATTAGACTTTGATGCTCATATAGGCTGCTAAACTCTTAGACTTAAATGATATTATAGGCTGCTGAGCATGGCAGTGATCAATATTCCAGAAATATAGTGTTGAAAAACCACCTCAACCATTGCTCACTGGTAATTTTGTTAGAAAGATGTATTATAGAAACTGTTACTTTTCTCCTGCACTTTAAAAGGACTTTTTGCTGACTTGCGTCTACGATAACTGACGTTAATGTGTTTGAACATAGACTTGGAAAAGTTACCTGATGTTTTTGCTAACTTGCATCTATGAAGCCCCCAATAGCTCAGCAGTAAGTCTGAAGTCTTATAATGCTAAAAACCAGGTTTTTTATATCTGTAGTGGGCACAGCACACACAGCTCATTCTGTAGCATTATACTTAACAATAAACAAACAAACAAAAGAATCTGTTACAACTAATGTTAATAATGTCAACTCAATATCTGATGGAAATTTTTGAGGTAAAATTTTTACCATTTTAAAGATAACACTTTTATATAAAGATGTTAGACTTACAATATAGTATGACTGTTATACTCATAAACATTGTAAAAATGTTTAATGTCAATAAATATACATTTTTTTTATAAATGAATGTTTAGTATATATTGCTTAATGTTTTCTACATGTTTTGGCTATTTTAAAGTGCAATGTGCAACCATAAACATTTTTTACCTAAATCTGCCCTTGATACCTAGGGTTACAACATTAGGCATAAAAAGCTTGTTTTGAACATAAGTTGAAGGATGAATACTTAGTAAATTCTTGACTGTATAAGAGCATTGATTAGGCATGGATGCTGTAAGTGCTTTGAGACTGTTAAGCAATATTTATTTTACCATTCCAGTTAGTTTTCTTCTTTGTTTTACAATAAAACTGAAGTGGTGTCTCAGACTTTCAATACGGTACTTCCTTTGGCTCACAAGATTAGTTATTCTCGTCCAGTGCTGCCCTCTATATGCAATTTTTTCTTTACGCATGCCACAAGCCTTCTGCTCCCACCTAATGGAATCAAATGATTCCAACATGTCTCTCATGTAAATCATCATGCGTCACTTCTCCAGCAATAGGAATGTGACTCCCTTTGTACATCTCTACCGAACTATCACTTATTGTTTAGCAGTGCTTGTGCTCAGAAGTGTTCCTCTTTGTTTGTTTAAAGTGGTGTCTCAGACTTTCAAGAGGATTAGTACATATATTTAAGTTAGTAATTTCATAACATTTATATTACGTTTTTAAAACCCATTCCATCTTATTCAAAAGTATATTTCTTGCACTGGTGAAATTGAAATCCAGGATCCATCAAGCACTGCTGTCCCAGGATTTTGTAAATCTAGTCCATTTTCATAATACCATTAATTTTGACAATATTTCCTACTCCTGCAGGAGAAAAAAAATTCACATCATCCCATTTCACTCAATGTTGTTTTTAGGTTCAACAGTTCAGTGGACCCAGTGGAAATTTTGAGGGAAGCTCTTGTTTTTTATATTTAAAAGTATTACTAAAGATTTATATGTAGTTGATAAAATAGGATTGTTTTGTTAGTTACTTCCATATTGAACAAGTTATTATTGCAATTCAACTACACCCTTTAAGTTTCTGAAGTGAAATCTTCAGTAATCTGTGTGAATGTGGCACATTGGACCTCTGTAAGTTAGTTGTGCTTTACCTGGAACATCATGGGTGGGTGAATCACTAGTGCATTGATAATATTACATAGTAAGAAGTAATCAGAGGTTCTTGTGGGTTACAGTAGTACAGTGGTTTTGTGTGTAGTACCTGAGTAATGTAAGTTACACTACAGATGCTCTTATCCTTCATTTAATTTCTTTTATTGGCTGGCCATTTCTGCAGCTACCTTAATCAAAACAAAAGTATTGGTGATTTAAAATGGGCATATAAAGAAGAGTAAGGCTGAATTCTGATAGTGTTGTTTCTGGTGAATGTTGATACATGTAACACACCTGGTTTAGAAATGTTTTTATATAAAGAAGAGTAAGGCTGAATTCTGATAGTGTTGTTTCTGGAGAATGTTGATACATGTAACACACCTGGTTTAGAAAGGTTTTTATATAAAGAAGAGTAAGGCTGATCTGTAACAGTGCTGTTCCTGGAGAATGTTAATACATGTAAAATACATGGTTTAGAAAGGTTTTTATATAAAGAAGAGTAAGGCTGAATTGTAATAGTGTTGTTTCTGGTGAATGTTGATACATGTAACACAACTGGTTTAGAAAGGTTTTTATATAAAGAAGAGTAAGGCTGAACTCTGCTAGTGTTGTTTCTGGAGGATGTTGAGTTATGTTTAACATATATTGTTTTTAGCGTTTTTATACATAAAAGTGTATTTACTTTTAGGCAGGCATCAACCCTATGGTCTGAACTTAAAACGGAGAAAGAAGTTAACAATGTTGTTGCCCTCTGGCTGTTGACACTCGATAAACAAGGATGTCATAATTTGCTCCTGTCTGGTAAGTATGAGTAATGAGATACTTGAGTTATGTATTATAAACCTTTGCTATACTTTCTCATTGTCCTTATATCACATTATCATTTGAAAACACTTGCATCACTATTCAACTTAATAGTAGAACAGTCAAACTAATGGTTCTTTGCTAGAAATGGATGTTTTTATGTAAGTATTCAAACCAATAACAGTTTAAACAAAAGACTATTCAAATTTGTTTAATTCTGTCTTCTTGGATATTTTCTTTACTGTAGTGTTGTTTATAAAACATAGTCATACATATGTATATTTGTTTCAACACTTTATTAAACAGAAAAAATTATATTCCAAAAGTGGTAGATAATAATTTTGAAATACATGTGAAGTATTGATACATGTGGCATCCAGTGATTAACGATTTTAAAGATTTTTTGTTGTTTTACAGATCTGTGTCTTTCATGAGTGTTGAAAAATTTTACATTTTGAAGCTATTAACTTGTACAGGTCTTGTGGTATTTTTTTGTCTTGTTTTTAAGTCTATAATTCCACATTCATTGTTGTATTATATGTTAAAAATTAATATTTAGTAGAACCCACGTTTTTAACCTAGAAACTAAATCATTGAACTGTAAAACTTCTGTCCAGTTTGAACATTTTGCAACATTTAAGTCATAGCACTCTTTTATTTAAAAATACTTTGTTTTAACTTGGTGTTTATTATTGAATTTCAAAGGTTCTGAAGGAGTCATGCAGGCTATGGTGCTGAGCTTTGGTGCTTTCAAGTTTAATAACCACCATCTTGAATTTGCTACACATCCAAAAGACCTTCATCGAGATTACTTCTTTCGTCGCTTGAGCTATGGAAACTCTACTCATTTAAACATTAGTGTTGTAGTGGGAGAAGACAACAAGGCTGTCATTTACATAGCATTAGATCGTAGTGACAGGGACTACTATGCTTGTGATGGCGGCTGCCTAGACCCTCCTATCAAGCTAAGGTTATAACACTATTATAGGCATGTTTATACAAAACCAAGGTTATAACACTTATTGTTTATAGGCAGGTTTATATCAAACTAAGGTTATATATAACTATTATTTATAGGCAGGTCTATACCAAACTAAGGTTATATATAACACTATTATTTATAGGCAGGTTTATATCAAACTAACTTTATAACACAGTTT